CCAGCCGCTCTAAACATTTTGTTTTTGTTTGGGATCACATGCCATGGTACTCAAGGCTTTCTCCTTCCTGGCTCTGTACTTAGGGATCCCTCCTGGCAGACTCAGGGGACTATATGGGGTGCTGGGGATGAACCCAGCCTGCTTGTGTGAAAGGCACGCACCCTACTTCACTGTACTATCACTCCAGCTCTCAGGTAAACATTCTACTTACTAGATGATCAGTTTACTATACAAGGATATAACTCAAGGGCAGTCAAACAAAAGACACAAAGAGTGGAAGGAACATGGGAAGGAGCTTAAGGCTTCTGTGAGCCCACCACCTTCCAAGCAATCTCTACGTGTTCACCAACCTGGAAGCTCTCTGAACCCCATCCTTTGGGGGATTTTAATGGAAGCCACTTACTTCGCCTAGTCGTGACTGATTAAATCACGGCCTACGGGGCTGATTCAACCTCCTGCCACTCTTTCCTGCTCAGAGGTTGGGGAAAGGGGAGACAAATGTTCCATTAGAGGATCATAATATTGTTTTCTTCAGTGACCAGTCACATCCATGAGTAACTTAGGGTGTTTCCAAATCACACAAATATATTAAAAGTCGCCTTATTAAACTTACTTATTAAACTATACTATTGAATACTCTCAGTATGCATTACGTGCTATACTGTTTATTGAACTGTCATCACAGGAAGTTGCAAGGGTTTTGTACCAGAAAAAGAAAACGCAGTGAAATTGTTATCCCTCTATATCCACAGATTCAGTAAACCTAAGATCAAAAACATATATCAGAACCAGAGGGATAGTATAGGGATTAAGGCATTTGCCTTGTGCACAGCTGATCTCATTTCAATCCCCAGCACCACCAGGGTAAGAACCCAGAGTAAGCCTTGAGTACAGTAGGGTGTGGTTTAAAACAAACTATATGTAATATATGTGTGTGTATATCTGTATGTGTGTATATATATACATATTATATATTATATATACATATACAAACTATATAAAAACTACATATATTCACAACTATATATAACTACACAAATACATATATATCATGTAGTTAGACCTATTATGAATCTGTACCTGAACATTGCCAGATAATTTTTTTTGTTAGTCCCTCAAACAACACAATTTAATAGCGACTTACATTGCATTTACAATGCATTGGGGATTATAAGGAATATAGAGATGATATAAAGTACATAAGAGGATGTATACGAGTTATATGAAAAGAGTATCCTGTTTCATATGAAAGACACGACACCCTAGGATTTTGGTACCCATGGGGGTGGGGGGGTGAATCAATCCCCACAGATGCTATTGTCATCTATGTATTTCTCATTATAAATTACAATATCGCAACGTATACTACTACAACTGTGACTTTATCTTGACACCCAGTACTCCCATTTCTACTTGTGCATATGAGACTACAAATTAGTCACTTGAGCTGCGCAATCAAAATCTATACTGGGGAAATAGTACAAAAGGTAAGGTACTTGTGTTGCCTGTTGCTGATCCAGCTCAATATCTGGCACTGCATGTGGTCCGCTGAGCAACACCAGGAGTAACCCCGGAGCCTAGAGCCCGACGTAAGTTGTGAACACTGCCAGTGTGACCCAACAAATAAGAAATCTATCCAGGGGACAGAAATGCGGCTTGACAATGGAACAAATGCCTGCAAGTAAGAGGGAAAGCCTGGGTTTCGTCCCACAACTCAAAGACAGCAGAAGAGCCTGGAGCACATGCTGTTACACCCAGGAAGCATCCCTGTCATGGTGGCAAAATTGATACAACTGTAATAATAAAAGCAGAATGGTAACTAGCGAGTTTCCTTTTATTCAGTGATACCTTACAATTCTGAGACTGGGTAGAGTACATTATATACAGTATCCTTTGTTTAGTCTTCAAAAGAAAGTCTAAACACTTCTTAAGGGCCAGAAAGCCAACTCAACAGGTTAAAAGCATGATTCCTGGTATTGTAGCGCCCACCTTTGGAAATGGCCTTTAAACACAGAACCAAAAGCAGCCCCTGAGCACCGCTGCATATGGCCCCAAAACAAACAAACAAACAAAAAAACCCTCAGGAATTATTATTTATCCCTTACTGAGAAAGAAACTGAGGCTTTCAGGAGGGTAACTGATTAATCCAAAGTCCTAAGTAGGAGGCCAAGAAAATATGATTCTTGGAACTCTAAAGATAGTACAAGGCGCTTGCTTTGCACACAACCAACCCGGGTTCCATCCCCAACAATGCATATGGTCCCCAGAGCACTATCAGGAGTGATCCCTAAGCGGAGTCAGACGTAAGCCCGGAGCACAGCCAGGTGGGACACCAAAACCCAAAGAGAAAAGCAAATCTGATTATAAAGGTTTTAACCTATGGAGCATGCCTTCATCCAGAGATTTTTAAGAGTCCATAACCATATGGGAAAACAGTTCTCTTAAAATAATACAGGCTGCATGTCTTGCATGTCTTTGGGGTTGTGGGTTCTTTTTGTTTGTTTGTTTAATTTTTCTGTTTGTTTTTGTTTGGTGCCACCTCCAGCAGTGCTCAGGTTTTTTTCTGGCTTTGCGCTCAGGGATCACTCTTGGTGGGCTCTGGGGATCATACGAGGTGCTGCAGACCAAACTCAGGTCAGCCACGTGCAAGACAAATGCCCTAATCACCAGAGTATCACTCCAGCCCCTAATTATTTTCTTCAGTCACTGTGATTCACAACACTATCAACGGTAGGTTTTTATGTTCACAACAGGAAATACTACCTCTTCCCACACCAGAGTGTCTGTTTCTCTCCATCACTCTTTGGCAGACCCAACCCACCCCATCACACCTCCTTATCCCTACAGACTGCATTTGTATTAAAATTGTATTTATGGAAAAGACAAATAAAGTGAAAATACCTAGAATGATATATCCAAAGGAAAATACCTTATCCGAAGGAGGAAAAGAAAATACCTCAAAAAGATTTACTCAAAGTGTCAATACTTATAGTAGTGGGTGATGAGATGATCCTACTTTAACCTTTGCTACTATCCAAAGTATGTATTTGGACAGTAAGAAAATAAGCAATAGACTTTTATTGTTTAATTATTAAGAATAAATCATGATGTAATTATCACTAATTTTAGTATTGGGTTGTGTGTGTGGTACTCTAGGGACCATACAGTGCCAGGGATCAAACCCAGCCTTCTGCATGCAAAGCATGGGCTCAATCCATTAAGCTAACTCTCTGGGCCAAAGACTTTAGTATAATTATGGAAGAAGAGCTTCAAACGCATACTCTTTTTCTCAAGTATTCGGTTAAAATTTTCATGCTTTGAAGACCAAATCTAAAGTCTATCTCTCAGGTAAGAAAAAAAAATGCTGTTCACTTTTGTATACCTACTGTTCCATCAGGACACCTCTTGGTAAGTCATCTCAGCAGGTATGAATGTGCTGGAATCTGAAAACTTGAATTTTCAAAGATATTTCTACCAACTGACTGTGGACCTTTGGACAAACTATCTTAGTTAACCGAACTGGAAAATAGGAAACAAAGCAGTTGGAGAGAAAGTACAGTGTGGGTAGAACACTTGTCATGCATGCAGTAGACCCAGTTGATCCCAGGAACCATATATGGTCCCCCAAAGCAAGCCTGGAGTGCTCCCTCAGCAGCACCAGGTCCAAAAATATTTCAATAAATAAATAAGGAAAGAAAAAAGGAAAATAAAAGCACTGCCTACCTCTTGGGCCATAGAGATAGCACAGTGGGTAAGGCCTTGCAAGCGTACGTTGCAACTTGCAAGCTTACACTGACCACACATGGTCAGACAGGAATGATCACTGAGCTCAGAGCCAGGAGTAAGCAAGCCCTAAGAACCAAAGGGTGAGGTCAAAATTTTTTTTTATTAATAAAAACACTACCTCTATGCAAGTATGAACGCTCTGAAATCTGAAAACTTAGACTTCAAAGATAAAGTTCTACCAACTGATCGTGGACCTTTGGACAAACCATCTCAAGACCTTAGTTAAGGGAACTGGAAAATAGGAAACGAAGGTGCTGGAGAGAAAGTACAGTGGGTAGAGCACTTCCTAAGGTTAGCCTAAACCTGAAACGACACGATGAATGTTGTAAATGTCCCAACATAATGCTCACACTGGCGAGCACTCAATACAATGTCTTTCTTACTGACACATTATAACAAAAGCGTTATAATGTGCAAAATCTGTACTAGAGACAGCAGACGCTGACTTCTCTTATGTTTCTGAAATTTGGGGGGACCGACACTGTAGCTTTGGGAGATGGGTAAGTGAAATAAATACTGAAGCGTTTGATAAGTGCCCTTGCTGCAGGGGAAGGAGATGAATTTCCTCGGGGACTCGCCCCCTGGACTTAACCCTCCTTGACCCCAAGGCAAAGCAGCCCAGCCGGGTACACGCTCCCTACCAGGCTCAGAGAGGCGGCCTGGGATTCGTTCCCACCGCTAGGAAGAACCTGTTCGATGACCTTGGGAAATCCTACTCAGTTACCACCTCCTTCCTCGCCAGTTGGAGAGCTGGGGTGGGCGGGGAGGAGGGTAACGTCTTTTTTTTTTTTTTAAACTCTGCAGCCTGCAGGGTTGGAGGTGCCAGTCCCCCTTGCAAGCTGGAATAAAACAAAATAAAAAATAAAAAAAAATAAAAAGCAAGGCCAGGGAGGGACATCAGGGATGGAGAGGCAAGGAGCGCGTTCCGTCCCTGGGGGACCCACCTCCTGTGCACCCTCGAGTCCTTCTGCAGACGCGCGTGCCCTCTCACCCATCTGGAGCGTGACAGGCGACAGCAAACTCGCCGAGGGGGAGGAAGCACAGGCAGCAGCAGGGCGGCTCCTGCCTGGGAGGGGGGTGCAGGAGAGGCCGGAGTGCAAGCTCGGCCGGGGTCCGCGCCTCCGCCACCCCCGCCCAGGACGCAGCTGGAGCTCCCCGGGGCGCGCGGGGGGCACCGGGACGGGACGAGGCGGACCCCCCCCCCCCGAGCTCACCGTACTCCTGGGTCTCCGGGTCGGGCTGGAAGGTGAAGTGCGACACCGACCTCCGAGGAGCCGCGTGCCCGCCGTGCAGGAAGCCCGGGGGCAGAGCCGCGCCCGGCGGCCGGCGCCACGGTGCCCCGCGCCGGCCCGCAGCGAGCCGCAGCAGCCGGCTCGCGCTCGCCGCTCCCGCCGCCATCCCCGCCTGCGCCCGCTCCGCCGCGCCGGCCGCTGCTCCCGGCCGGCGGTGACGGGCGGAGCGCGAGGACCGCCTCCTCATTGGCTGGGCCGCGGGAGCCGCCTCGCGGAACCGACCAATGAGGTGGCGCCGCTCGGAGGCGGGACCCGCGGCGAGGCGGGGCGGAGCCGCCGGGCGCGCGGCGCGCATGCGGAAGATGCTCCGGGGCGGAGGCGAGCGGGGCAGGTGAGCGCCAATGAGATCGCTGCCCAAGGCAGCGCGTTCCCAAAAGCAGGCGGGGCCTGGGCCCGGGCCCTGGACGCTGGGCTGCCAGGCGGGCTTGCACGCCTTGCTCGGACTTGGTTCCTTGCCAAGGCCGCTCGCCTTCGGGATCGGCTTCCGCGTACTTTTCGTTTTTTTTTTTTTAAATCTGTACTTTTTGAAAGATATCGACGTTGTTTGACTTGGCTGAAATGTGGTTGAAGTCTAAAATTCTCTCCAAAAAAAAAAATATAAAATAAAAGTAAAAAATAAAATAAAAATAAAATTCTCTCCAGAGTTAGGATCCAAAAAAAGGAAGAAAGCAAAATTCATTTTTTAGGTTTTGCTGGCTTTATTTTTTTTTCCGTTTTTGTTGGCGGCGGTGGAGGGGTCATGCCCACCTGTGCTTCTACTTAGGGGCCACTCCTGGAGGGGCTCAGGGACCACTGCTGCCAGGGATGGAACCAGCTGGGCCACTTGTTAAGAGCCCTAACCCGTATAGTATTCCTCTGGCCCAAGTAAGCAGAATTTCTAAACAAAGATTACACCAGGGCTTATTTTTAAACTATTAATTTGTTTTTTCTTGTATCCAGTTTTTTACTTTGATTATCCTATACAAAAAGGAAAAGGTCACTGATTGACATTGGTTAATAGTAGTAATGCAGAAAGCTGCATTGATCACTGCTATAGCTTCTTCTCTTCAAAGTCTCCTTGAATGCTGAATAAGTAAAATTTAAGCCCTCGTTGAATGCTTAATAAGAAAATATAGGTTTTTATTGATTTTGGTTTTTCTGAATTTAGCTTAATAAAGGAGATGAATTTAGATTTTATCCTGTAAATCAACAATATAAATTCAGACAATATACAAATTATAAATTTGTATATAATTATAACTTATATATGCATGTAATTATATATAATTATGATTTTTATATACAATACTACTGCACTGTCCTCCCATTGTTCATCAGTTTGCTCAAGCAGGTCCAGTAACATCTCCATTGTGAGACTTATTGTTACTATGTTTGGCATATTGAATACATCATGGGTAGCTTGCCAGGTTTTGCCGTGCGGGTGAGAGACTCTAGGTAGCTTGCCGGGCTCTCCAAGAGGGGCAGAGGAATCGAACCCGGCTTAGCCGGGCTGGCTGCACGCAAGGCAAACACCCTACCACTGTGCTATGGCTCCAGCCCATATATAACATATACAATATAAATTCGATTGTATATATACAATATAAATTCAAAAAATATTTTTCAAATATTTTTTATTTAGGTACTTTGATTCACAACACTATAGACAATGGATTTAAGGCATCTACTCTTCCAACTCAACGCACCACTCACATCACTCTCTGCCAGTGACCCAAGGTTCTCTCCTACCCCACATCCTGCCTCCATATCATTCATTTTTAATATTATTTAATTATCATAGTTAAGGGCTGGAGTGATAGCACAGCTGGTAAGGGCATTTGTCTTGCACGCGGCCAACCGGCCAACCCGAGTTCGATTCCTCCGCTCCTCTTGGTTAGTCCGGCAAGCTACAGGGAGTATCTCCCCCGCACGGCAAAAGCTTGGCGAGCTACCCGTGACATATTCGATATGCCAAACACAGTAACAAGTCTCACAATGTTACTGGGCCCGCTCGAGCAAATCAATGAACAATGGGAGAACAGTGCTACAGTGCAGTGCCATCATAGTTGAGAACACATGTTTGCAATAGGGTTGGCTCTACAATTTTGAAACAATCACCTCACCTTTACAGTACCAAGTCATTCAAATCAGATGCGCAAATGTTACTTCCAGTCATCCCTCTCTTCCCCACACCCAGTCCCTATTGCCTTCCTTCCTTGGCGTTCTTATTTCTGTAACTGAGGGTCAAAGGCTGTTTTGTTGTTTCCTGTATTGTTTTTGTTGTCTTCAAAACTGACCTAATAAGTTTAATTTACATAGAAACCTGGAGAACTTGAATCATTAATTTCCATTAATAATAAACTTTCTAAAAATGTTTATTATTAATGTAATATTGTTTCACCTATACTGGGGGGCCAGGGATATAGTTCAAAGTAATGGAGCCATGCTTTGTCTGTATAAGGCCATGAGATTGACACCCAGTATTGCTTCGTGTATCCCAGGGGTCCCCCCACCCCACCATGCTCAGCACCACCCCCAGGGGCAGGAGCACCAGACCCATCAGCCCTGCACCAAGAGCATTGCTGGGAGAAACCTCTGCTTTCATTTTTTTAATACAAAGTTATTTGGGAGGGAGCGAGAGTACCGCTAGTAAAGCACTTGCCTTTCATGCAGCTTGCCCGGATCAGATTCCTAGCATCCCATATGGTCCCCAGGACCTCCAGGAGGGGTGTTTTAGTGCAGATCAGAGCAGCCACCGAATGTCCCCCCACCCTGCAAATCACGATCATGATCACGATCATGATCATGATCATCCTATTATTCGTCGGTTGCCTCAAGCAGGCACCAGTAATGTCTCCTTCGTCCTAGCCCTGAGATTCTAGAAAGTACCACATTCAAGGCTCTTTCAGGGCTAGGAGAATGAGACCCATCATTGTTACTGGTATTTGGCATATTGGGTACACCATGGGAAGTTTGCCAGATTCTGCCATGTGGGCAGGTTACATTCGGTAGCCTGCCAGGTTGTCCAAAGTAAGAGTGAGATAATAAGATGTTGTGCGGCCACAAATGCTGCCATGCACTTCCGGGAGCTGGGTTTTGTAGTCTCTGGGTCTTGACCATTGATGGGATTACACTCCACAAATAAATTCAAAAATGTAAAAGATAGCATTTCCCTTCATCAATTTACAAAGAAAAGTAAAATATGACAGACAAAATTGAAAACATTCTTGTGGAATGAAAATGGGTAGGAAGGAGGTAGTAGTGATTGGGGAATAACTGGCTCAAAACAGAACTTGGAAAAGAAAGAGCGTATGGGTCAGCTCAAAAGAGGAGTCTAGAAAACAGTGTTCCTCCTCACTACTTTTGAGCTTTAATCATCCTTGCATTTTTTAAGAGTGAGTAACAGGGTTTGAGGGAAAGCAAAGGGATGAAAATTCTGCCTGTGTTATGACTGGGATGGAAAGACATAAATTTAAAACTGTCCAAAGAAAAACTAGAGTTATGTCTCCATTATTTCTACTCCCACACCAGGACCAAAGAGCCAACACTGTAGGGAATTTTTTTATCTTAGCTTCATGTTTATTTCTATCACATAATATTGTGTGTGCTATTCTTTTTTTTTCCAGTTATAAGTGAAGTTATTTTTTATTTAATTTGAACAAAGGTTCGGCGGTTTTGCCTAACCGATGTTGCTGTTGTCCCAAAATTCCAAACGGGATCAGACCACCGTCTTCTTCGTGCAAAATTCTACCTCACAGAACGAGGAGAAAAGAATGCAAGGTTTAAGAAGAAGACTCCCAGAACAACCACCAACTGGGAACTCTTTGGCTCTGTTGCAGCAACATGGGAAGATGCCGTCATTGACAACATTGATGAGGAATACGATCGAATGATTCAGCACCTCCATGATTGTGCAAGGAATGCCAAGAGAGAGATAACCACAAAAAACCGTCTTTCTTCGAACACTCTTGAACTTATTCGCCAACGTGGCGTGGCACGTGCCTCAGGCAACCACAAGCAAACGTCCGAACTGGCAAAACAGTGCAGAAAAGCCATCAAGGATGACCTCAAAAACAGGAGAGCAGCAGTACTGGTAGATGCAGCAGAAGCTGGGAAAAACATTCGTAATGCCCGCCTGTCCTTCACCAACTACAAAACCAAGATGACTGCCCTCCGACATCATGATGGATATATCACATCTTCCAGAAGGGCAATGGAGAAGATTATTCATGACTTCTGCTCAGATCTCTTTAATAGCCACATCCACTTGCCCACATACCACATACCACATGATGGATATGTCGTTCCCAATGTTCTCCCTTCCGAAATCCAACATGCCATCTCGTCGGTAAAGAAACAAAAAGCACCTGGCCCAGACAAGATCAGACCTGAACACCTGAAGAACTTACCATCAGTACTCATCAATACATTAGCCCGACTCTTCACACGCTACCTGTCTGAATGCAAGGTTCCATCCCAATGGAAAACCAGCAAGACTGTACTACTATACAAGAAAGGAGACATCCACGACATTGGCAACTATCGCCCAATCTGCCTATTGTCTGTCATCTACAAACTATTCACTCGAGTCATCCTGAATAGGATTAGCAGAACACTAGATGAAGAACAACCATGTGAACAAGCTGGATTCCGAAAAGGATTCAGTACCATTGACCATATCCACACAATAACCAAGCTCATTGAGGTATCTCGGGAGTTCAAGATGCCGTTCTGTCTAACGTTCATTGATTTAAAGAAGGCCTTTGATTCTGTTGAGACGGAAGCGGTCATGGAAGCCCTAGCCAATCAGGGCGTACAAACTCAATACATCAGGATCCTTCGTGAGCTCTATTGCGGATTCACTACCAAGATCTCACCATTCTACAAAGATGTAATCATCCATATCAAGAGAGGGGTTCGGCAGGGTGATACCATTTCACCAAAACTCTTCAGTGCCACCCTCGAGAACATCATGCGACGACTAGAATGGGAAAACATGGGAGTGAAGATAGATGGTCGGCAACTACACCACCTCCGCTTTGCTGATGACATCGTTCTAATAACACCAAACATCAGCCAAGCGGCACAAATGCTTGCGGACTTTGACCGTGAGTGTGGAAAGGTCGGACTACAGCTGAATCTTACGAAGACAAT